TCATTGGATGCCCTCTAGTCTTTTGGGAGAGGGAGAAAATAATTTTGTGTCATTACTTTTGCCACCTACAGAGTCAGAACCCCGACCAAGTTCTCATAGCCCATTTTGGTTCTGCAAGAGTAGAGAAAGAGCTCAGGATGTGGCGAGGTGCACATAATTCATATTTCCAAGAGTCTTCAAACGTCCACGTGCAAAACCCAAGCTCCTAGGCCTCAGGGTCACAAAGATATGCTTGAAAGTTAGGGCAATTTTTGGGCAGGAACGCACAGGAACGGAGTTCCGGCTGGCTCCCAAGTCGGCCACGCCCAGCAGGAACTCATTAGCATAACAGGCCACACCCAACAGCAGAAACTCATTAGGATTGGCTACATTAGGGGTGTGTGGCCTAACATGCAAAGAAGTTCCTGCTACAAAAAAAGGCCCTCGGTTTTGACAACAAACAAGGTAAACAGAATAAGAAGCAAAAGGTGGGTGTGGCTGGATGACCATGGGGGTGCGTGGCCTAATGTGCTAATGAGCTGTGCTGTCAGGGGTGTGGCCTAATATGCTAATGAGTTCCTGCTGTTGGGTGTGGCCTATTATGCTAATGAGTTCCTGCTGGGCTTTTTCTACAAAAAGAGCCCTGTAAGGTAATTGCCCGCTGACATTTCAAAAGCCTCCAAAAAGCAAAATCCGCTAGGAAAAACACCATCAAAAACAGCCTTTGGTTTCCTCTTCACACTATGAACCTTGTTGTCAGAAGAAATCGTTGAAATCAGGTTCCAACTACACAGCCGGCAAACTGAAGAAGTTGATGGAAACGTCTCTTTTAAGTATCTGGAGCGGGCGTTTTTGCGAAGGCTGTTTTTTGAAAATGTTTTGAAAACATGGATTCCTCCTACTGAGTTGAACAGACTACATGGACTAATATTTATCTTTGAAGGAGGAAACGTTGTGCTCTATGCCTTGCTTATAGTATTAGTATGCACTTATTTTGATGTTCTGGCACCACCAACTTTATAACTGTTAGAGTTTATATATTGTCACGCTCTGGATTCTCAGGTGGTTCGGCACGGTTGTGAGTCGAATCCAGGTTGGGAAGACGAACTTTAGGTCCAGGTTTTGCCTCAGAATTGTTGTTGGTCTAGTTAACATCACTAGCCACAACCGGGAAAGTTCACGTAGACGAGTACGAGTGGATCCTTCTCCCTCCTCTCTGGCTCCTCGTCAACTCTCCCTCACTCCCCCTTGGCTTCACCTGTGTGGTTCTTTTATTTGTTCAGCCTCCACACCTGTTTCGCCCACCACCCATTTCTTAAAGTAACCGAGCAACCAGCCGGGTTTCCAATGGGTCTTGGTCTCTACCTTCCACCCTCCAACCCTGTCTAGATAAGCATATGGAGTAGAGGTCCATCAGTGGCTATTAGCCACAAGGTATAGATAGGGACTCTGGGGCAAGGGATGCTCTGTCTTCTTGGTGCTTGGGGGGGGGGGGCAACAGTGGGGGGGCTTCTAGTGTCCTGGCCCACTGGTGGGACCTCCTGATGACACCTGGTATTTCTGGCCACTGTGTGATACAGAGTGTTGGACTGGATGGGCCTTTTGCCTGATCCAACGCCTTTGGCCTGATCCAACATTGGCATCTCTTATGTTCTTATGTCTCCATCGGTTGGATCCCTGATGTCCTGCCCAAGTGGTCCCCCGGCCGCTACACCCTCCCTTCTTCGGGTTGTCGCCTCTCTGTGGACATTGATCCAGGGTCCCGGGACCTCGGAACGATCTAGGACCGGTTTCTCGGTACTGGCGAGAGCTACGGGGTTGATTCCCTGCGTAGTCAGGAGGGGGTTGCTGTCGCCCTCCTGACATATATTTTGGCATTTTTGATGGTGTTTTTCCTAGCGGATTTTGCTTTTAAAAAAAATCTTTGTGATGCTAGGTTTCCCAGCCTTTTGGACATTTCAAAAAGGGCTACGTGAGGTTGAGAAATGTCAGAGTTCATGTCCCCTTGAGCTTCTTCCCTTTCCCCGAGACCAGCCAAGCCAGGGCAGTGGGCAACAGATCCCACAGATTTGCAAAGTCACAAGAGTTCTCTTGGCACAGAATTTTAATACAATTAGTAACACTGGCCGGCTTCGTCTTGTCTCTTCCCTGCAGCGTCACGTCCCTTTTTATCAGTTGCGGTAGCTCTCCAGGGCTTCAACGTGACCCAAAGCTCAAATCATCAGGAAACGGGGTTTTAAATGGTTTAGGTCTTAAAGTGGCTATCTGGGTTCAAACCTTAGCTCATCGCGACCATTGGTCCTGAGCATGTAACACATGGAGCTGCCTGTGACGTCCTCGCTTATTGGGGAGACAGTTTCTCCTTTAATTCACACGCTGTGTACCTAAACTTGGTAGATTTCTGCTGCCACCAGGAATTAAAAAATCCAAATCTCTCTCTTTTGGTAGAATGACCTAGGGTCTGGCCACTTCAGAGGACAATGTGGCCCTGAGGAAGGACTATTCTGATTGCTAGGAAAAGTCTAAAAAAAAATTGATTTATTTAATAAAGAACAAAATAGGTATCTGGTTATTTTGAACTGTTGCTGAAGAAAGGAACTTGTAAATATAACTGGCAAAGCTTGGCGTCATAAACAGTCTCTCAAACTCCAAACTCCACTCTGACAGGCTTAAACACTCAGTCTAATCTCTCTCTCATATATATATATATACACACAGACTATGCTGTTTGTCTTATTCACACAGAATAGACTCAAACTCCCCTAGTCACACAGACTATGCTCTCTCTCCAAACTTCACACACAGAATCACCTCACAGACACTCCTCCTCCCACACTCTCAGGCATCAGCCAATCGCATCACCCTTATCTCCCTCTATCACTCTCCTTACATTACTGCAGTTACACTAAACGTTTAAAGAAACACACACACCAAAACAAGAAATCATTACACTGCCTTATACTGAATCGAATCATTAGTCCATCAGGATTGTCCGCTCAAACTGGCAGTGGCTGCCCAAGGACTCAGGCTGAGATCTTTCACGTCACCTACTGCCTGATCCTTTTGACTGGAGATGCTGGGGATTGAACCTGGGGCCTTCATGTGCTGGGAAGTGGTTGTGGCTCAGTGTCAGAGCCTCTGCTCAGGATGCAGAGGGTCCCAGGTTCAATCCCCGGCATCTCCAGGTTAAAGAATCAGGTAATAGGTGATGTGAAAGACCTCTGCCTGAGACCCTGGAGAGCTGCTGCTAGCCTGAGTAGGCAATACTGACCTTGATGAACCAAAAATCATACTAATATTAAAGATGTTTAAAAGATATAATGATAATGATAATAATAATTGGATTTATACCCCGCCGTTCACTACCCAATGGAGTCTCAGAGTGGTTTACAAACTCCTTTCCCTTCCCCTCCCCACAACAGATGCCCTGGGAGGTCGGTGGGGCTGAGAGAGCTCTTGACAGAAACTGCCTTTTTTCAAGAACAGCTCTTATCAGAACTATGGCTTGCCCAAGATCATCCAGCAGGTGCAACTGGAGGAGTGGGGAATCAAACCCGGTGCTCCCAGATTACAGTCTACGCACTTAACCACTACACCAAACTGGAGACTAGTGTCACAGAAGTCCCAAATATTCAAATTCCACTAGTAGAAAAACACCATCAAAGATTGCCAAAGCAATCTATAAAGTTGGTGGTGTCACAACAACAACATTAGTGCATACTGTAACCAATGTTCCCTCTAAGCAATGGAGTCTTATGAGCAAAAACTCTACTTTGTGAGCTACTGGCATTAAAGTTGTGAGTGAGCAATTTGGCTACTGCATAAGTTAGTTTGCTCTGGGGCTATCCTTCCTGAGCTAAGACAAAAATGTGTGAGCTGGAGGCTAAAAAACTGTGAGCTAGCTCACACTAACTCAGCTTAGAGGGAACATTGACTGCAATATTTCCTCCTTTGTAGATAAGACAAAGTCCATGTAATCAGTGTAACTTGACAGGAGGAGTCCACATAGTCATACTATTGTCCAAACAGCCTTTGCAAAGATGTTCACTTCTTACACTGTGAACCTTGTGCTCTGTTGAAATTGCTGAAATCAGGTTCCACGTGCACAGCCGGCAAACTGAAGAAGTCGAAGGACACGCATCTTCCAAGTATCTAGAACGGGCGTCTTTGCAAAGGCTGTTTGGAGAATATTATGACCGTGTGGACTCCTCCTCTCAAGTTACACTGACTACATGGACTTTATGTCTTATCTACAAAGGAGGAAATAGTGTATCTTGTGCCTTATTATAGTTACAGTCAGAGGTCATTTCGGGGGGGAACGCGGGGGAACGCAGTTCCCCCGGGTGAGGTGCAGGGGGGCGGTGCACATGATGAAGCCCCGCCCCCTGCTTCCGGCCGCCCCGCTTCCAGCCCTCATTCAGCCAGGAGGAGGCAGGAGAAGAGGGAGGGTAAGTTGCTTCCTCCCCACCTCTCCCCACCCCTGCCTGCCTGGGGCCAGGGAGGGCCTTGGCGGGGCTTCCTTGCACTCCCGCTGGCCTTGCAGGTCCATCGCCGGGCCCCTGATGTCAGGGGGTGTGGCATATGCTAATGAGTTATGCTAATGAGTTCCCCTAGCTCTTTTTCTACGAAATGACCCCTGGTTACAGTATGCATTAATGTTGTTGTTGTGACACCACCAACTTTATAACTGTTTAATATATTGTTTTGGCAATCTTTGATGGTGTTTTTCTACTAGTGGAATTTGTATATTTGATGATTCAGTATAAGGCAGCTGTGGCTTTGAATGCAGAAGGCCCCAGGTTCAATCCCTGGGCATCTCCAGTTAAAAGGACCAGGCAGTAGGGGATGGGAAAAACCTCCACCTGAGACTCTGGAGAGCGGCTGCCAGTATAAGGCAGTTTCGTGTGTGCCTGGATTGTGCCGTTCGTAAGCTCGGTTCGGCCACCCGCCTTGCCCCTTTGTCTCAACGGCGTATAAACACGCGCGCGCCAGAAATTATGAAGATGTACAGTGGATGGGTCAGATATTTTCTTCTTTAATAGAAAGTGCCCCAGAATAATTCCACGGCAGGGGTGGTGTGCGGGGAGGGAGGTTAAAAAGGAACATGGGTCCATTTCTCTCACGCGCGGACTGGCAAGCAGTGAAAGACGTCAGGAATGGTCTACAAGGTGCAAGCATCTACGCCGTGGTCACTCAGGACTTCTTGGATACCTGCGCCTTCTGGATTTCCTGTGAGCAGAGAGAAGAGGAGATTGGATTTCTACCCCGCCCTTCACTACCCAAAGGAGTCTCACTTAAATACTCCTTTCCCTTCCCCTCCCCACAACAGACACCCTGTGAGGTAGGCGGGGCTGAGAGAGCTCTTGACAGAAACTGCTCTTTTTTCCAAGAACAGCTCTTATCAGAACTACGGCTTGCCCAAGGCCATCCAGCAAGTGGAGGAGTGGGGAATCAAACCCGGTTCTCCCGGATTAGAGTCCGCGCACTTAACCACGACACCAAACTGCTGAAGAAGAAGAAGAAGAAGAAGAAGAAGAGGAGGAGGAGGAGGAGGAGACTGGATTTATACCCTGCCCTTCACTCGAAGTCTCAGAGCGGCTTACAATCTCCTTTCCCTTCCCCTCCCCACAACAGACACCCTGTGAGGGAGGTGGGGCCGAGAGAGCTCTCTTGAGAACAGCTCTGAGAGAACTTGTGACAGACCCAAGGTCACGCCAGCAGCTGCATGTGGAGGAGTGGGGAATCAAACCCGGTTCTCCCAGATTAGAATCTGCCACTCTTAACTACTACACCATGCTGGCTCCCTACACCAAACCGGCTCAGTGAAGATGGCAGTTCTCATGGCCTTTTCTTACACACCCAGGAAAATGCTGATTGCCACCGGAGTCAGGAAGCGATTTCTCTCTGGGCTAGGTTGGCCAGGGGATCCTGGAGGTTTTAGGCCCTCTTCTGGGCATGGAGCTGGGGTCACTGGCAATGCTCCCTCGAAGGTGTAGAGTCTTATGAGCAAAAATTCTACTTTGTGAGCTAAGTTGTGAGCGAGCGATTTGGCTGCTGCATAAATTAGTTTGCTCTGGAGCCCATCCTTCCTGAGCGACGGCAAAAATGCATGAGCTAGCTCACACTGACTCAGCTTAGGGGGAACGCTGGTCACTGGGGGTACTTGTGAATTTCCTGCCTTGTGCAGGGGGTTGGACTAGATGACCCTGGAGGCCCCTTCCAATTCAATGATTCCATGATTTTTAAAAAAATCTGCACAGTCAATCAAAGCTCCAATGGCCAATCAGAAGCCTTGCTGGGCAAAAGCCCCGCCCCACCCACTTTCTAAAAACACTCGGTGGGCCGCCCGCGGGGCTCTTTTTGTAGCAGGAACTCCTTTGCATATTAGGCCACACACCCTAATGTAGCCAATCCTCCAAGAGCTTACAGAGCTCTTCTTACAGGAGCTACTGTAAACTCTTGGAGGATTGGCTACATTAGGGGTGTGTCACTTAATATGCTAATGAGTACCTGCTACAAAAAGAGCCCTGAATTATTCGGGAAAGGTGTCAGCTGGTACCATGTCGGGAAAACCCTGCTACAGGACCTCTTATGTGAGGGGGAAGGTCTTTGAACTCCAAAAACTCACTTCTGCAAGTATCTTCGTCAGTTTGGAATACGCCACGTCTAAATCGTCATTAATAATGATCAAATCGAAAAGGCCGGGCTCTTTACCTGCCAAATTAAGACACCCCCCCAATAAAAACAGCATTTAGACCATCTTAAGAGAGACACACAGTTCTTTGAGGGTCCTTTTCAGACTTTCATCTGTCCAAACCCTGCAAGACTGCTTAGGGAGACAGTGTGACTGGCCCAATATCACCCAGCAAACTTCGAGGCAGGATGAGGATTTGAACCCATGGCTTTCTCCACACTCTGCCCTGGACAGCTTGGACTATGCATGCCACATCATTGACTAAGCTACGGGGTAGGCATCCTCCATTCTTTCCCTCTCAATCGACTATTTTGCATTTTCCAAAGGAAATCTACTTATGTTATCAAAGGCTTTCATAGCCGGAGTTCATTAGCTGCTGTAGGTTTTCCGGGTTGTGTGGCCGCGGCAACCCGGAAAATCTACAGCAACTAATGAAATCAACTTACTTTATTTGTATCCTACTGCTCCTCCAAGGAACTTGGGTGGGCATACATTGTTTGCCCCCACCCCATTTTATACACACAACAACCCTGTGAGGTTGGCGAGGCTGAGGGTCAGAGAGAAAGTGATTAGCTCAAGTCCACCCAGCAAGCAGAGTGGGGGATCGGAACTCAGGCCTTCCAGTTCCTAACCCAGCACTTGAACCCCTGCATCACACTCTCTTCTCTGGTCTTCTAAGACAATTTCAGGCCACTTCTGGGGGACACAGAAGATGTTCTAAAGCTCTGTAAGTTATCCCCCATTCCTCCCCCAAATACGGTAAGCCTATTTAGCAAGAACTGTGGGAAAATTAAAACACAGAGCAGGCTCTTGTGCAGAATGTCTCCCTCCCTCTCTCTCACACACAAACACAAAGGGACCTCAAAATACTCACTCAGTTCCAGGTCGACACGAGCTGCGTTTAACCGCTTCTGCAAGCTCTCCTCTGTTTCTGTCTGCCTGTCTCGTAGCCTTTTTTCCTAAACACCACAGGGGAAAAGAACAAGAAAAAAGAAATTGCTTCATCCTCCAAGTTGATTGGGAAAGTTTCCACACGTTCCACTGCTTCTTCCTCTAAGGGTGCGTTCAGACGGGGCGTTTCAGCCGGCATAAACTGTACCGGTTGGAACCGTTGCAGTTTATGCCGGCTGAAACGCGATCACACTTACCTCCTCTGTCTGCGGAGCCCATTGCTGTATGCCCATTCACACGCAGCGGACGTCGGTGGGGTTTTTTTAAAACTCAGTTTGTGCATGCGCATAGGCAGCCATCCACAGAATGGTGATCTTCGCGCATGCGCAAAATACCCCGTCCCGAAAAGCATGCCCTGAAGAGAGGACTTACCTTTAAAGTTTAAAGACCAAACTGGCCTCCCTGAGGTCCCGGACTCCTCTAAAACATTAAACTAAGGACCTTTTCTTTTTTTAAAAAAACAAACGCCGGGGCGAAGCTTCGCCCAAGCGCATATCGCCGACCTAAAAAAAATGGCGGGTGAAAATCAGAAGCCTCGGGCTTTCGAACGGAAGTGGCTCTACAATGGTGGAGAGTGATCAGACGGGGGGTAAAATGATTACAACCGTTGCACTCAGGATACCACCACTTGGGGACCTAGTGGCAGAATACAACAGTTTAAAGCTCTTTGCAACGGTTAGGGACGGAAGGCAGATGTTTGCCGTGTGAACGCCAATAAGTACACCGATTCCAACCGGCACCTATACCGTTGCAAATGCCCCGTCTGAACGCACCCTAAGTGTTCTGTTCTTGCGGCAGGGTCTTCTACAGATCACAGAATGTATTTCAATGCACTTCACTGCAACTCAAATAACTCTAAGGCACTTGAGACGAAATCACAGGGACTTTGTGGGTTTGCCCTGAACAGACTTCAGTTTGTGTTACGGGAATTATGGGGAAGGGGAAAAGGAGGACTAAAGTATGATTCCTTGAACAGATCCAAGTTTTAAAAAAAATGTTTGTGAAAGGGATCTAGGTGTTCTGGTTGATCACAAGCTAAACATGAGCCTGCAGTGCGATGTGGCTGTGAAGAAAGCGAATGCAATCTTAGGATGCATTAACAGAAGCATTGTGTCCAGATTACGGGAGGTGGTTGTTCCACTCTATTCTGCTATGGTCAGGCCTCAGCTGGAGTCCTGTGTCCAGTTTGGAGTACTGCGTCACTTGGAGCACTGTGTCCAGTTTTGGGCACCACATTTTAGGAAGGATGTTGACAAGCTCGAGCGTGTCCAGAAGAGGGCGACCAGGATGGTGAGAGGGTTGGAATCCAAGTCTTATGAGGAAAGGCTGAAAGAGCTGGGTCTGTTTAGCCTGGGAAAGAGAAAGCTTAGAGGGGACACGATTGCAGTCTTCAAGTATTTGAAGGGCTGTCATGTAGAAGATGGAGCAGATTTATTCTCTCTTGCTCTGGATTGCAAGACAAGGTCTAATGGGTGGAAATTACAAGGGAGTCGTTACCGGTTAAATATCAGGATAAACTTCCTAACTGTCAGAGTGGTTGAGCAGTGGAACAGACTGCCTCGGGAGGTGGTGGAGGCTCCTTCGCTGGACGTTTTCAAGCGGAGGCTGGACGACCATCTTTTGGGTACATTGTAGGTATGTAGGGCTCTCTTTCGGCTCTACTCCTGCAGAATGCAGGGGGTTGGACTAGATGACCTGCAAGGTCCCTTCCAACTCTCACATTCTATGATTCTATGATCATAAAAGTAAATGGAGGATCGTCCTATCCAAAGGCTCCCTGAGGGATTATTACTGCACTTGAAGTGGCATTGCGTGCTCTGTATGAATTAAGCAGGGGTTTTATCAATAGAGCGGAAACCTTTTTGTTTCAGTTATGAAACTAGGGAAAGGATCTCTCTCTTCCTTGTCTCAGGTACCGACAAAGAGGAGGATATTCCTCCGGTTCTGAGAAATCACTGAAAGACGCTTGCTGAATCCATCCATCTAGTCACATGAATATGGTTGAGGCAGCGGGCGTCACCCTACTTGGGTTGGCCCCCACTTATCGCCTGGGTTAGCCATTTACAGCTTGGGGCGGCCCCTATTTACAGCCTGGGTTGGAGACCCCAACCCTTATAGATCTTTGGGGAATCTATTCCCACTACTATCAACCACTGAGGTATCTTGGCTTTTGGGAGCCAGTTTGGTGTAGTGGTTAAGTGCACGGACTCTAAACTGGGAGAACCGGGTTTGATTCCCCACTCCTCCACTTGCACCTGCTGATGTGACCTTGGGTCAGTCACAAGCTCTGGCACAGCTGTCCTTGAAAAAGAGCAGTTTGTGTCAGAGTTCTCTCAGCCCCGCCTACCTCACAGGGTGTCTGTTGTGTGGAGGGGGAGGGAAAGGAGTTTGTAAGCCGCTCTGAGACACCTTTGGGTAGTGAAGGGCGGGGTATAAATACAATCTCTTCTTCTCTTCTTCTTCTTCTTTTACGAGAGCTGTATGTTTTACATGTTTTAACACGGTTTTAATTGAATTGAATTGAATTGTATATTGTTGGACTGTATGTATATTGTCGGAACCCGTCAAGGGGAGGGTGGGATACGAATCCCCAAAAATAAATAAAATAAATAAATAAAATAATAAAGCTGCCTTCTCCTGTCCCTTGTGTCCATCCAGGTCAGCATTGTCTACTCAGACTGGCAGCAGCTCTCCAGGTCTCAGGCTGAGGTCTTTCCCATCACCTCCTGCCTGGTCCTTTTAACTGGAGATGCCAGGGATTGAACCTGGGACCATCTGCATGCCAGGCAGAGGCTCTGCCACTGAGCCACGACCCCTCTTTACAGCTCTCCAGGGTCTCAGGCGGAGGTCTTTCCCATCACCTCCTGCCTGGTCCTTTTAACTGGAGATGCCGGGGACTAAACCTGGGACCTTCTGCATGCCAGGCAGAGCCTCTACCACTGAGCCACGACCCCTCTTTACAGCTCTCCAGGGTCTCAGGCGGAGGTCTTTCCCATCACCTCCTGCCTGGTCCTTTTAACTGGAGATGCCGGGGACTGAACCTGGGACCTTCTGCATGCCAGGCAGAGCCTCTACCACTGAGCCACGACCCCTCTTTACAGCTCTCCAGGGTCTCAGGCGGAGGTCTTTCCCATCACCTCCTGCCTGGTCCTTTTAACTGGAGAAGCCGGGGATTGAACCTGGGACCTTCTGCATGCCAGGCAGAGGCTCTACCACTGAGCCATGACCCCTCTTGACAGCTCTCCAGGGTCTCAGGCGGAGGTCTTTCCCATCACCTCCTGCCTGGTCCTTTTAACTGGAGAAGCCGGGGATTGAACCTGGGACCTTCTGCATGCCAGGCAGAGGCTCTACCACTGAGCCACGACCCCTCTTGACAGCTCTCCAGGGTCTCAGGCGGAGGTCTTTCCCATCACCTCCTGCCTGGTCCTTTTAACTGGAGATGCTGGGGACTGAACCTGGGACCTTCTGCATGCCAAGCAGAGGCTCTGCCACTGAGCCACAGCCCCTCTTTACAGCTCTCCAGGGTCTCGGGCTGAGATCTTTCCCATCACCTCCTGCCTGGTCCTTTTAACTGGAGATGCCGGGGATTGAACCTGGGACCTCCTGCATGCCAGGCAGAGCCCCTAAACCTGAGCCACAGCCCTTCACATGGTGGCCTTCTACTGAATCGGACCCTTGGTCCATCAAGGTCAGTATTGCCTACTCAGACTGGCAGCGGCTCTCCAGGGTCTCAGGCGGAGGTCTTTCCCATCACCTCCTGCCTGGTCCTTTCAACTGGAGATGCCGTCGGGGATTGAACCTGGGACCTTCTTGGTGGAGTGGGTGACTCAGCATGCCTGGATGGTGGGGAGCGTGTTGGGGAACCCCGACGGAGACCGTTGGCCTGCTCCAGTGACGTTGCCGTTTGGCGATACGATTCCTCTCAAGTTCCTTCTCCTTCCTGCCTTTTCATCCCTCCCGAAGCCTAAAATGCCTCGGAGCACAATCCTCTCCTCTTTTGCGTATGAAAAAAAAAAAGCACCGTGCATGCTGACATTTCACCACCTCTATCACAACTGTGTTGAACTGGTATATGACACCAAAAAAAGATAGCAAATATAAGTAGTAATATGTCAAACAAATGTTGGAAATGTAAAAGAATAGAGGGTTCTTTATACCATATGTGGTGGACTTGTGACAAAGCAAAAAACATTTGGACTGAGGTCCATATAGAGATGGAGAAAATTATGAAATGCAAGATTAAGAAGGAGCCTGAAATGATACTTCTGGGACTTAAAATGGAAGAAGTCAACATTGCAAAACGGACTTTAAAGTGGTATATGATTACAACTGCTAGAATGACATATGCTCAATGCTGGAAACAAGAAAGAACTCCCGGGATTTGGGAGTGGTTAAAAAAGTTACTCTTTATGGTGGAAATGGACAAAAGGACAAGAACGCTTGAGCATCGGGAAGCGGAAGAATTCTTTGCAGACTGGAAAGACTTTAAAGAATATTTAGAGAAACACTGGGATGTGAAAAATAATCCATTTTGCTTTGATGACTACTGAAGACAGAAGGACATTTAGAATAAGTTTAAACATATAAGAACAACAGTGAAAAGATAGGTTACCTGAAGAACTTTATTATTGAAGAATAGAAAAAAGAGGAAAAATATAAAATTTGGAATGGAGGTTGGAGCATTGCGGGAAGTCAGAAAGGGGGGGGTATTAGGAGAAAAGGGTATAAGATAGTTGATAAGATGATGCATGGTTTGTTTTATTGATATATCCTAATAAAAATTGTTTAAAACAACAACAACTGTGTTGAACTCCGTCCCGCACTCACCAAGGTTTCAATGGACGGTGGCTGGATAGAAATGTAGATGGGGCTGAAGTCCGTCTTCTTCATGCTCCTCACACCCTGCATGTCGATATCCAGGATGCAGATCTGGTTCTGGGCTTGGACGGCCTGTATGGCGGCTTTGCTGAGAGAGGAGCAAACATAAGAGAAGGGAGTGAGTGCTCTCAAGGTAGAGGAGAGGGGGGTCTTGGAAGAGGTTCAGTGGCATGTAGGAAGCTTGAGGACTAGCACCTTGAGTCTGTTGGCATGTTAAAGCAATCCATCGAGGGTCTGGGGCAGTGATGCTCTGCGTTCTTGGTGCTGGGGAAGTAACAGCGGGAGGGCTTCTGGAGTTCTGGCCCCGCTGCTGGACCTCCTGAGGGCCCCTGGGTTTTGGCCACTGTTTGACACAGAGTGTTGGACTGGATGGGCCACTGGCCTGATCCAGCATGGCTTCTCTTATGTTCTTATCCTCTGTGTTTTTGGTGCTTGAGGGGCAACAGGAGGAGGGCTTCTGGAGTTCTGGCCCTGCTGATAGACCCCCTGATGGCTGCTGGGTTTTGGCCACTGTGTGACACAGAGTGTTGGACTGGACAGGCCGTTGGCCTGATCCAACATGGCTTCTCTGACGTTCTCATGCTTCTGAAACCAGGGCAGTGTTGCCAACAGTCAGCACGCGTGCTCTTTGGGCTAAGCAGGCAAAACCATCAAAAATGTGGGGTTTTTTTTTGGGGGGGGGGTTGCTCAAGGCAAAAGGCAAAAGGGAACATCAAAAGATACAGGTGAAATACAGGGTTTCTTTCCCCCTTTTTATACAGGTGAAATACAGGGTTTCTTTCCCCCTTTTTATAAGGCATCCACAACCACGACCGCCATCCACCAGCCGGCACGACCCAGGCTCAAACAGTGCTGCCCTCTTGTGCTCACCATTTCAGATACCCCCTCTCCTCCTTGGCAGGAGGAAGAGCTGCCAACCTCCAGGCGGGAGCTGGAGACCTCGTGGAATGACAGCTGACCTCCGGACTACATAAATCATTATTTATTTATTTAAAATATTTATTCCACTTCTCCTTTGGAAGGGGGACTGCATGACATTATACTCTACCAAGGCGCCTCTCCTCCCTAAACGCCACTCACCCAGGCTCCTCTCCATTTAAAACTGTGGGGTTTTATACCGGACAACAAGCGATGTAACATCGAATCGACCACTAGAGGGAGCAAAAGCAAAACAGGAACAGGAATACACAAGCCAGGAAAATGCAAATGCAAAAAAAAGCCCCAAGTTGTGTGTGTGTGTGTGTGTGAGAGAGGGGGAGAATACCTTTTCTGAATCCAGGACTAAAGGATGCTCGCATGGGAGTTCTTTCTGGGATTCCTAGCTTTTAACTTAAAAAAAATATATCAAGTTTCTCGACCATAGGGTTACAGAGCTAAACACGCACTAGTAAAAAACATTCCTCGGTGCAAAAACAAGCAAATCAACTGCCATCGTAGCCAAATGACATACCTTGTTCCGTACATATTCCCGGAAAACTCTGCGTGTTCAACAAATCCTCCGGCATCGATTTCCTCCTGCATCTTTTCTCTGGTCACAAAATGGTAATCTGTGGGGGGGGGGAGTGATGCTCTGAATATTTGTGTGCCAGGACCTTAGGAGAGCATGCAGACACACCCAGATGTTCTGAAGACACACAATCAGAAGAACAAAACCTTCCTTCTCTTCCCTCGGTTCCGCCTCAAGTAAGCTCTTCACCTGCTTACAAAATAGCCCACCAAACTAATTATCCCCAACCAGTGTTCCCTCTAAGCTGAGTTAGTGTGAGCTAGCTCACCATTTTTTAGCCTCCGGCTCACACATTTTTGTCTTAGCTCAGGAAGGAGGGCTCCGGAGCAAGCTAATTCATGCAGTAGCCAAATCGCTCACTCACGACTTTAATGCCAGTAGCTCACAAAGCAGGATTTCTGCTCACAAGACTCCACAGCTTAGAGGGAGCATTGATCCTAGATATCTCACAATACCTCTCATGGGAGCCCAGATGTCGGGTGTGGAGGGAGGAAGGGGATGTTTGTTGGTAAAGCTCTTCAGAGACCTACGAAGAATACGCCTTAAAATTAAAGTGCCAAATCATGGTACCCATCCTCAGATATCAGGAGGAGGAAAAGGAACACCTGCATATTGCTTTCAAAATGCTTCACAGACACAGCCTTTGCCATAATCAGGGGTCATTTCCTGCAGGAGCACACAGAAGCAGAACTCCGGCAGTAAAGAGCCCAGGGGGCGGGCACATGCAAAAAGCCCCACCTCCTGCTCCCAGCAGCCCTCAGTCAGAGCAAGAAGCAGCCAGGTAAGCTGCAGAGCTCCCCCCCCCCCCCGGCCACAAACCAGTGGCACCTTTAAGACCAGGTTTTATTCAGGTACAAGCTCTCCCTCCTCTGTGAGGGCAGATCTGTGTGGGGAATCCGAAACCCAACCCCCCCATAGCTAGCAATCCAAAACAGTCCAGTGGAGCCTGAGCGGTGGGTGTTGCCTTCTGACAGACTTCCGGTGACATCAGGGGGTGCGGCATACGCAAATAAGTTATGCTAATGAGTTATACTAATGAGCTCCTGCACCTCTTTTTGTACGAAATGACCCCTGGCCATAATCTTCACAACAGCCCTACAAGGTAGGCCAGCATCGTTATCCCCATATTGCCAAGAGGTGGTGGAACCCGAGTGGGGCGGTGGTGGGGATAAAAATGGAATAAAAAACAATACACGTGCCCTGCCCCTCACTGTCTAACAAGCCATTTCCTGGCCTCATTGACCAAGACAGGTGGATTCCCGTGCTGAGAACTCTATCTCCTGTGGGGGTCACGTCCGGATACTGACCTTTCCCATTCAGTTCACCAGGTCTTGGTTTCCTCGTGGTATCTGAAAAGCAATACGTGTGTTTTGTTTAAAGCTCACATGTTTTAGAAAACAGCCAACACATCTACCCATGACGCAACTACCCCTTTCTGTTCCCTGCAATCAGGCCTTTGGGGGGGGGGGGGGGGAGGAAGAGGTGCCGGAAATGAAGTTTTCAATCTCCATACTGAAAACCCATAAACTTTTAGAAGGTTGTTGAAGAGGTTCCGGAACTCTGTTTCGGTGCGTTCCCGCAGGAAAAAAGCCCTGCCTGCAACGATCGGTTCTCTGTTTAACTGAAGACTGATTTCTTTCTGAATTTGCCAGGGAGCAGTGTTCCCCCTAAGCTGAGTTAGTGTGAGCTAGCTCACAGTTTTTGAGCCTCCAGCTCACACATTTTTGTCTTCGCTCAGGAAGGAGAGCTCCAGAGCCAACTAATTTATACAGCGGCCAAATCCCTTGCTCACAACTTTAATGCCAGTCGCTCACAAAGCAGAATTTCTGCTCACAAGACTCCACGGCTCAGAGGGAACATTGCCAGGGAGAGTCCCAGTTGGCATCGGCCCTGGCTTTTTAAAGTTGCCCGCCCCCCCCCCCCCCCCCCGTAAAGAGAGGCGGGAAACATCGGCCAGGAAGGCAGAATGGTCTGGGTATCTGAGGAAGTGTGCATGCCTATGAACGCTTAGACCCAGAATTAAACTTTGTTGTTCTTAGAGGTGCCACTGGACTCAAACATTGTTCTATGAGTTCTTTTCAATTATAGAAAGCTGACGGGGTGGACAGAGAGAGAAAGACAGACCGGAAGGCCAGCTTTTTGATGGGAAATTTGCACAGAAGTGATGTGTTGGAAGTGAAAGGGAAGACGAGGAGGAGGAGGAGGAGGAGGCCAGTGTTCCCTCTAAGCTGAGTTACTGTGAGCTAGCTCACAGATTTTTAGCTTTCAGCTCACACATTTTTGTCTTAGCTCAGGAAGGATCACTCCAGAGCAAACTAATTTATGCAGCAGCCAAATCACTGGCTCACAACTTTAATGCCAGTAGCTCACAAAGTAGAATTTTTGCTCACAAGACTCCACAGCTTAGAGGGAACACTGGAGGAGGCTTCCTCGGGAGGTGGTGGGCTCGCCTTCTTTCAAAGTTTCCAAGCAGAGGCTCGATGGCCATCGGACGGCAAAGCTGATTCTGTGAATTTGGGAAGATCGTGAGAAGGGAGGGCAGGAAGGGTTGCCACGGGGCTTAGTTCTCGTGGCCCTTCCTTCCACGCCCGGGGAAATGCCGATTGCCACTTTGGAGTCAGGAAGCCATTTTTCTCCAGGCCAGTTTGGCTGGGGATCCTGGAGGTTTTTTGTCCTCTTCTGGGCATGGAACAGGGATCACTGGGGGCATGGGGGGGAGGTACTTGTGAATTTCCTGGATTGTGCCGGGGGTTGGACTAGATGACCTCGGAGGTCCCTTCCAACTCTATGATTCTGTGAGGCTCTTCCACTGAGCCGTGGCCCCCTCCACCTTACAACGGCCAGTCCGCTTTCTGAACAGCTCAGCGGGCACCACATTGGGGAGCCCTGGTCTACTGTATACCATCTTACATACCGCCCAGGCAAGCTTTGTATTTGAAATGTGGATGGCGTACATTGTGGTGTGTTACTGTGTAATGGGGGGGGAGGAGCATTATTTGCAGAGCTGGCTTCTTTTGAAGCGGACAGTTCAAGACCCTGCCACACCCTCCCTTTAGTGACGTGGATGGTCCACACCCTGAATTTCTGGCAGATCTGCAGAAACCGACTCACTCACGGGACACGCTGAAGCCAAAGACGTTCTCGTAGTCCTTCAGCAGCCTTTTCAGCAAAGTGCTCTTCCCCGCGCCCGAAGGTCCGCTCAGAACAACTGGCCTTGGTCCCACCATCGCTGTGGGGCGGGGAGAGAAAAGAAAAGTGTTCCTCTGTTAGGAGCTGGCGTTTTTCATAAACTCGTAAGAACATCAGAAGAGCCCTGCTGGATCAGACCAGGGAGGGTCCATCTAGTCCAGCATCCTGTTCTCACACAGTGGCTGATCAGTTCCTCTGGAGGGCCAACAACAGGGCACAGAGGCCGAGGCCTTCCCCTGCTAAGCACCTCAGAAGAGCCCTGCTGGATCAGACCCAGTGGTCCATCTAGTCCAGCATCCCGTCTCACACAGGGGCCAACCAGTTCCTCTGGAGGGCCAGCAACAGGGCAGAGAGGCCGAGGCCTTCCCCTGATCAGAGCACCAGAAGAGCCCTGCTGGGTCAGACCCAGTGGTCTATCTACTCCAGCCTCCCGTCTCACACAGGGGCCACCCAGTTCCTCTGGAGGGCCAGCAACAGGGCAGAGAGGCCGAGGCCTTCCCCTGAGAAGAACATCAGAAGAGCCCATTGTCATAAGAACATAAGAGACGCCAATGTTGGATCAGGCCAAAGGCCCATCCAGTCCAACACTCTGTGTCACACAGTGGCCAGAAATACCAGTGCCATCAGGAGGTCCAGCAGTGGGGCCAGGACATTAGAAGCCCTCCCACTGTTGACCCCCCCCCAAGCACCAAGAAGACAGAGCATCACTTGCCCCAGAGCCCCTAGCTATACCTTGTGGCTAATAGCCACTGATGGACCTCTGCTCCATATGCTTATCTAATTCCCTTTTGAAGCCGTCCATGCTTGTAGCACCCACCACTTCCTGTGGCAGTGAATTCCATGTGTTAATCACTCTTTGGGTGAAGAAGTACTTCCTTTTATCCGTTCTAACCCGACCGCTCAGCAATTTCATGGAGTGCCCACGGGTTCTTGTATTGTGAGAAAGGGAGAAAAGTACCTCTTTCTCTACCTGCTCTTTCCCATGCATAATCTTATAAACCTCGATCATGTCACCCCTCAGTCGTCTTTTCTCCAAGCTAAAGAGCCCTAAGCGCTTTAACCTTTCCTCATAGGGAAAGTGTTCCAACCCTTTTATCATTCGAGTTGCCCTTTTCTGCACTTTTTCCAAAGCTATAATATCCTTTTTAAGGTGTGGTGCCCAGAACTGCACACAGTATTCCAAATGAGGTCTCACCATTGATTTATATAGGGGCATTATTATATTGGCTGATCTGTTTTCAATACCCTTCCTAATAATCCCCAGCATAGCATTGGCCTTCTTTATTGCAGTCACACACTGTCTCGACATTTTCAGTGAGTTATCCACTACAACTCCAAGATCTCTCTCTTGCTCAGTCTCTGCCAGTTCAGACCCCATCAATGTGTATTTATATTTAGGATTTTTGGCTCCAATGTGCATCACCTTGCACTTGGCCACATTGAACCCCATTTGCCATGTTGACGCCCACTTGCCCATCTTTGACAGATCCCTTTGGAGTGCCTCACAATCCTCACTGGTTTTCACCACCTTGAACAACTTTGTATCATCCGCAAATTTAGCCACTTCACTGCTTACTCCCAACTCCAAATCATTAATGAACAAGTTAAAAAGCAGTGGACCAAGTACTGATCCCTGTGGTACCCCACTGCTTACCCCCCTCCACTGGGAGAACTGCCCATTTATACTCACTCTCTGTTTTCTATTAATTAGCCAGTTTTTGATCCATAAAAGGACTTGTCCTTTTATCCCATGATTTTTGAGCTTGCTTAGGAGCCTTTGATGAGGAACTTTATCAAAAGCTTTCTGGAAGTCAAGGTAAATAATATCTATTGGATCCCCCTTGTCCACATGTTTGTTCACCCCCTCAAAGAACACTAATAGGTTAGTGAGACAAGATCTTCCCTTACAGAAACCGTGCTGAGTCTGCCTCAATAGGTTTTGTTCATCTATGTGCCTACTAATTCTTTCCTTAATAATGGTTTCCACCAATTTACCCGGTATCGACGTCAGACTGACTGGCCTGTAATTTCCCGGATCTCCTCTGGAACCCTTTTAAAAGATGGGAGTGACGTTAGCTACCTTCCAGTCCTCAGGAACGGAGGCTGGTTTTAAGGAAAGATTACATATTTTTGTCAGGAGAGCCACAAGTTCACATTTGAGTTCTTTCAGAACTTCCAAGGAGAATGGACCTTCACAGTAAGTACCAACGTGCCATTTTCCATCTCCACCCATCTTGGTCAACTTTGGTCCATAAAAAAAGAAGGAACTTGATGGAACCCATTAGGATCAGCAATGAAAGACTATTCCACCCCATTGTCCACGGCTAAGGAAGAGCCCCGTTTAATAAGGCCCAGGGCATCAAAAGACAACCCCCCCCCCAAAAGGGGAACAAGAAATGAGGGCTAGAACCAGGCACAAAAATCCCTACCACAGCCACACTCCAATGCTCCCTCTAAGCTGTGGAGTCTCGTGAGCAAAAATTCTACTTTGTGAGCTACCGGCATTAAAGTTGTGAGCGAGCGATTTGGCTGCGGCCTCAATCAGTTTGCTCTGGAGCCATCCCTTCCTGAGCGGAGACGAAAACGTGTGAGCCGGAGGCTGAAAAACTGTGAGCTGGCTCACACCGACTCAGCTTAGAGGGAACACTGCCACACTCCCAAACCTTTTCAGCCTTACCTCTTGGCAGTTCTGGATTCCCTTTAAAATGCAAGAACGCAGCCCGGTTTGATTTTCCCCCAGCAGCAAGCTGATCATGGAGGGAAGCGGGGAGAAAGTCAGAGAGCCAGCCGAACACCGGGCTATTTGCAAGCGTCTAAAGCCTTAATTACAGATCCTCCGCCCTGAGACGGCCAATGAGAAGCCGTCCCCCAAATCCCTCATTGCTTCCTGCTTGTCACTTCTTTCCACCCTCCCTCCCTTCCTCCCGCTTTGGTTAACAGCTTAAAGCTTTGGCCATGCCTCTCTCCGTGCAGGGCTCGCATGAGCGCATGAGAGCTGTGGAATATCTGCCCACCCACTGGCTTAAAAAAAAAAATCGCTCTCTTGCATTCGTATAGCTCTGGGAAAAACCAACAAGCCCAAGGTGGGAACTTAAAGCAAACAAAAGCAGTACCCTGAAATAAATGTGCAATCGTTCAAGGGAGCAAGACGGGATCCAGTGCAAAAGAGGAAGAAGAGAAGGGATTGGATTTATACCCCACCCTTCACTTGGAGTCTCAGAGCAGCTTACCATCTCCTTTCCCTTCCCCTCCCCTCTTGAGAGAACAGCTCCGAGAGAACTTGCGACTGGAGGCTGGCATCCCTCCATGAGACCTAAATGGAACCTTGTTATTCAGAGACAGTAACCTTGGAACAGCTAGAAAGTTTGAGTTCAGTGGCATCTTTAAGACCAACAAAGTTTTATGCTAGGTATAAGCTTTGGCGTGCATGCACACTTCTTCACATACATTGGAACAGACTTTGCCAACCACTACATATAGGTTGGAGAAGGAGAAGGAGAAGGAGGAGGAGAAGAAGAGGAGGAAGAGGAGGAAGAGGAGGAGACTGGATCTATACCCCGCCCTTCACTACCCAAGGGAGTGTCAGAGCGGCATACAAACTCCTTTCCCTTCCCCTCCCCACAACAGACGCCCTGTGAGGCAGGTGGGGCTGAGAGAGCTCTTTCAAGAACTGCTCTTGAGAAAACAGCTCTGAGAGAACTACGGCTTTCCCAAGGTCATCCAGCAGCTGCAAGTGGAGGAGTGGGGAATCAAACCCGGTTCTCCCAGATTGGAGTCCGCGCACTTAACCACTACACCAAACTGGCTCTACAGGGGCGGAGGTCTTTCACATCACCTCCTACCTGATCCTTCCAACTGGAGATGCCGGGGATTGAACCTGGGACCTTCCCTCCCCCAGCAAAGAAAACTCCTGTCATCTATTTATCAACACGACAACCATGTAAGGTAGGTTAGATTGGGTGGGTGTGACTGGCCCAGGGTTCCCCATGAGAGAGTGGGAATTTGAACCTGGGTCTACAAATTCCTAGCCCGACGCTGTAACCACTAAGCCATACTGATGGTGGGAAGGAAAGAAAACCCCTCTCTGTACAAGGAATATTGGGATGTTTTGCTGACATGCCACTGCATCTACCTCAAAAAGCACTGTTACGTGTTCTCCACGCCTGGGAGGAGAGAATTGAGATTCTCGGTTTGCTTCCCACAATTAGAAAAGACACCTTTCGACATTTATCTCCTATTTTGACTTGTATTGCTTTGCAAGTGTTGACCTTATAACCTTAGCTTGTTATTTAGCTCTGAACTTGCACATCTTAAACGTCATCACGTCACATGTTAATTTGCTGTTCATTCCCGATATCAAATCAAATCAAATTTATTCACAGCAAAAGCCAGCACTCTAATACAGTAGTCAAACTAAACGTGTCAAAATTCATAAAACCACAAACATAAATAAAGTGAAATATCCAGGGGTCGTTTCGTAGAAAAAGAGCTAGGGGAACTCATTAGCATAACTCATTAGCATATGCCACACCCACTGACATCATAAGGCCCGGTGGTGGACCTGCAAGGCCGGCGGGAGTGCGAGGAAGCCCCGCCAAGGCCCTCCCTGGCCCCAGGCAGGCAGGGGTGGGGAGAGGCGGGGAGGAAGCAACTTACGCTCCCTCTTCTCCTGCCTCCTCCTGGCTGAATGAGGGCCGGAAGCGGGGTGGCCGGAAGCAGGGGGCGGGGCTTCGTCATGTGCCCCGCCCCCCCGTACCTCCCCCGGGGGAACTGTGATCCCCCCACCCCCCCCCCCGAAATGACCTCTGGAAATATCCAATAAGGCATGCAAGTAAAACATGTTAAGTCCTATCACAAATTACATCTGTTTGTCTTTCACTAGCAGCGTTCGAATCCTTACTGCTAACCAGCCGCATTTGGCAAGTTTAGCTGTAACCTGGGGACGCCTACTTTTTAGGAGGTTCTTCAGTAATTGCATCTTTTGACTAGTTGAGGATAGAGTAGTTGTGGACAGTGGGAGAATATCACGAAAGTGGCTAT